GTTTGTCAATTTTGTTTATCTTCTCAAAGAACCAGCTCTTTGTTTCATTGATCCTTTCTACTGTTTTTTTAATTTCAATTTCATTTATATCTGCTCTGATCAAACTTAGTTTCATGAAATCCAATATTTTTTTTAAATTCTACCATATCTGCACTCTACCAACTCAATTACCCGTAGAGATGGTTTCTCACATCAGAAAATCAACATAACTATCCTAAGAATATCGAAGGATTCAGCAGCGAGAAGGATATATGATAAAACAACAAAGAAATTTTTGTTTCGTTGTCATTAGAAAAAGCTTAGTTGACTTTTGGTACTTAAGTGCTTCCTGAATTAAATAAAGCATTTTTTTTCACCCATTTTTCAAGCACCTGTTATGTGCCAGGCATTGTGCCAGACTTTGGGCATACTGTGGTAATGTTTCTCCGGCTGGCTCTTGCTCGTGTGTATCACCAGATACAACTGGTAATTCCACTGGATGCCACCTCTCCCCTGGACCTTATCTTCTGCCAAGTTTCGTCATAGCTGAGCTACATCATCCAGAGCTGTGTGGAGCTTTGCAGCGACCTGGGGCGTGCTTGCTTCACATCTCTCTCCTTTTCTATGTTGCCCTCTGTTAGAGAGATACCCAAGTAAAGGGTCCCAGAAGCCTGCTAGCTCTTTACTCATATCTCTTCTCCAACTCCGAGCACTCCCATAAGAATGGGCTAGAGGATCTAAAAGAAAACCAGTGCCACACACAGGACCACCTCTCTTTGGTTGACTAAGGCTCTGATCCTGAGCATCTCTTCCTTTAGGAGAAATCCTCTCTGCTTCCCCTCATCCTCTTCTGCAATTAGACTCCTGGCGAGCTCACTCTCTAGTCCATCAGGTATGCCCAGTAGAGACCACAGGTTGAACTTAATTTATGAACCTTCGTTACACTGAAAAAACTTTGAAGTCTTTTTAAATTCATGCTTTTTTTTTTTCCTGATGCTTGTGTCATTTTAATTATGAATGTTCTTTAGCACTGAGAGGCTATCCATCAGTAATAATTAAAATTAAGAGAGGAGGTGTTAGGTAATTTTTAGTATCATGAAAAGCAATATTGGTGATACTGTCCATTTTATTTCTTGCCTTTATGACTCAGTATATGAGTTATTATATGAGAAATATGTGGATAATATTATCTATGCCTAGATCCTCTTCTAACTAAATATTAGATAATTTTCTCAATTGTCTGTAAGGTAAAAGATGGGTTTCATTGTTAAAAAATGTCTTAAGCAAAACAAATATTTTAAGTTTATAAAGAATATAGATCATAAAACCCAAAAAAGATGAGTTTCAAAAACTTTTCCTAAAGAATTATAGTTAAGATAGCCTATGAACCAGAACTTGCAGGATATTTGGGTTGAATCTTGGTATCTTGGATTCGTTTTTAACAGATAATTTGATTGCAGTTATCCAAAAGAACATACACTATTGTAAGGCTTTGAAAACCAAAAAGGTCTGTTCTTATTTTACTATCAACAGTATTAGTGGTTCTTTAAAATCCAGGGACCAATAATTCACATCATTTCATGAAAACGTATTTCTTAATTTTCAAAAAAAAAATCTTACAATGATTTATTTTTAAAAAGCTAAAAAGCATCCCAGTGCCAAAGTTAAAACATACTTCAGATTGAGTCACAAAGCTTTTGGAAACTCCGCCCCAGCGTTCTGACGTCACAATGTTCTAGCCAGTTAGAGGACCCGCTGAGCCAGAGAAAGGAGACGCGGAGGAGGCGCTGATTACTGGAGAAACCTTATCGTTTTCCCAATGAATTTTATATTGTTTCTCTTCTTATCTGGGGTTTTTTCCTCAGAGATTAGAGATACTACTCCCAGTAATGAAGGTGAGTAAGCAGTTAAAGCTTTCACAGAAATAGTAGGTGTGGAAGATGACCCATTATCCTAGAAAATTGGTACACGGCAATTTTCTCTAGGACGATGTCAAGTTAATTGTTGGAAATATGGTATAATTTAGATTTTAAATCTCTGCCTCAAATCCTTTGTGGAAAAAATGCAATCAGACAAAGAAAGTAGTAAAAGAAGTCAACATGCCCCGGGGCCTCCACATCCGCGGGTTCCACATCCGCGGATTCAACCACCCCGTGATCCAGTGCTGTGTACAATCCGCGGTGGGCTGAATCCGCGGATGTGGAACCCTCGGATTCGGTGTGGGCGGACTAAGGGACTCGAGCAGCCAAAGATTTTGGTACTAGTCCCTCCCCGCCCCCCCCGCCCCCCCCCCAGGGATGACTGTATTTCTGATCTATGGTGTGTCATCCTTTTTTTCAGAGCCTGAGATGATGATGCCTGTCGTTGAAGAAAATAGAGAGGAACCAGAAAATAAGGATAATACTCCTGCTAATGAGAAAACTGGCGATTATTACAAAGATATAAAACAATGTAGGTCTTGAAAGTTAATAGCCATACATATACAAAAGCTGATTGTACCGATTTATTTTTAACTCTTTTTAAAACTCCTACAATCACTTTATTTCCTGCTTCTTAAATTCTCCTTTATCTTACAGACGTTTCAGTGTGTAAAATGAAATTCTTATTTCCTACGACTTTTTTCATGAGATGTGATGGAGTTTAACAAGGTTCTCTTGATAATTGTCTATAATTAACATAGGGTTCATCATGGCATTATGGTTATTTATTCACATTAGTAACAGTTGACCTAATTCTATGGCCAAAATTTATTTGGAGGTGTCTGTCGGTTTCCTAGGGCTGCTGAAACAAAGTAACACAAACTGGATGGCTCCAAGCAACTGAAATCTATTCTCCCACAGTTCTGGAGGCCAGAAATCAAAAATCAAAGTTTCGGCCTTGCCAGGTCCTTGCCAAAGCTTCTGGGGGAGGATCTTGCCTAGCCTCTTCCGGCTTCTGGTAGCCCCTGGCATTCCTTGGCTCGTAGCAGCAGAACTCCGGTCCTCTACCTCTGTTTTCATACAGTCCTCTACCTGTTTTCACACAGTGTTCTTCCTGTGTCTCGGTGTCTAAATTTCCCTCTTTTCTTAAGAACACCATTCATATTGGATTAGGAGCCCATCCTGCTGCACTGTGACTTCATTTGAACTAACTATATCTTCGATGACCCTATATTCAAATTAGGTCCCTTTCAGAGGTACTGGGGGTTAGGACTTAACCATATCTTTTTTAGGAGGGACAAAATTCCACCCACAACAAGACAACTTTGAGGTGTTCGGAAGGTCCGTTAAACCTTGGTTTATTTACCATTCCTCATATGGGCTTTCTTTCTATGTCCTTATAAGGTCCACCATTCTAAAAAGTGAAAAGTTCATAAGAAACTCTCGTTAAAAACAAAAAAATTAAGGGCCCAGCCTGGTGGCGTAGCGGTTGAGTTCACGCGCTCCGCTTCGGGGGCCTGGGGTTCATGGGTTGGGATCCCCAGTGCCAACCTATGTACGACCCATCAAGCCATGCTGTGGTGGCATCCCACATACAAAATAGAGGAAGATTCACACAGACGTTAGCTAAGGGCCAATCTTCCTCACCAAAAACAATAAATAAACAAAAATAAGAAAAATTAAGATTAAATCTAATTATCCTGGGATCTTTATTAACATTAATCAAAAAAATAGAAATATAATCAAGATATACATATATATATACACTCAAGCACTTTGGAAACTATAATACATAAGTTGTATTTCTATTTTTTCTTTGATGAATCAATATCCCTCTTTTGTATGTGAACAAAGTCCCTGAAGCTCAGAGAGGTCAATTGCCAGGTTTCATAGCTACCAAGAAGTGGAGTCAGGAGGGGTGTCTAATCTACCCACCACCAGGCTGTCTCCACTGTGCAAAATGGTGCAATCATTTCCTTTTCAGGTTCTATCTCTATTTTGTATTAACTAGAAGGTAAATAAATCAAGAGCCTAATGATTACCTTGATTAAAGAAAAAAACATCTTTCTTACATCACACACACACACATATATAAAAAACATAAATGGGATCACACTAAAGAATTGTATTATGAATTGCTTTCCTCATTTAATATCTCTGGAGCTCTTTTCACATCTACCTCATTATTTTTAATGGCTGCATAGTATTCCATAAAATGATGTTCCATAATTTATCCCCTATCCTATTAAAGAATTAGAATTATGTGCAGTGTTTCCCTTGTACATTCTTCTCATCTACACTTGATTGTCTCTCTCTTTCAATAGATAGCAAGTGCTGGAATTGCTGAATAAAGGGTGAATCTTTTAAAATATTGATAGATCCCACCAAATTGCCCTCAAAAAAGTGTGTACCAATTTATATCCCCCAAGAATGCTCCAGAATCTCAGATACAATGAATATTATTAATCATGTTTTGTGAATAAGAGAAATTTTCATTACTGTTTTAATTTGTACTCTGATTACCTATGAAGTTGAGTATTTCTCTGTATTTATTGTGCATTTTCATTTCTGCTTTTGCGATTTGCTTGTTCATATCCTTGGCCCATTTTTTTATTAGGTTGTATTTTCATGGTTTTGTAGGGGCTCTTTTTATGTTTAATATACTCATCTTTTCTCTACAGGAAAAGTAACAAGTGTTTTCTCCCAGGCTGTTGCTTATCTTTAAATCTGCTTAGATCTCTTAATCAGAGATAATTTTAAATTTTATAAAATCAATTCTTGATGAATTTCTTTATAATTTCTACCTTTTGTATCTTGCTTAGATAGATCTTATCCAATCCAAGATATTAAATTATGTTCCTAATTTTTTGAATAATTTCATATTTTTGTTTTTAACTCGTAGGTCTTAAACCCAATTATTTTTGTATATGGCATACAATAGGCATAAAACTTTATATTTTTCAAGGAGGATTGCCAAATGTCTAACACCAATTCCCTACTGATGTGAAACTCACATTTAATATAATCTTAAGTTCTCATTTGTAATTGGGTCAATTGCTGTCTTTTTATTGTTTCTTTGATCTGTCTTTCCCTGCAAAAATACCACAGTATTTTAATTTTTGTACTTTCATAACTCATAACATGAATGTTGGGCTGTGACTTCCTTTCTCCATAGATCTAGCTCAGAAATTCCTCAAAAATTCTGATACATTAATGGCAGTTTTTGCGAGAGTGTGTGTACTGGGGGGAATGAATATACGTGTATGTATTAAACACATATCTACATTCATGTGTGTGTAAAATTTTCTGTCATTTCATAAGATTTTGGAAAGAGGAGACATGTATGTACGTTCAGCCTGCCATCTTGATCCAATTTACTTTGACTCTGGTTGGGTAGATATGTCCATTAGTTTTGAATTGCGGTCAACCCCACTGACAACTCCTCAGAGCAGGATTCTTTGTGTGCAGCTGTAAATGTGAATGTAGATGGGAGACCTTGATTGTTACTGAAGTACATGCTTTTCAAGCTGAAGTATTCCACAGTCTAACAGAAGGTTCAAGGGCAAATGAATGCCTCTTACTTGGCTTATTGATAATGTCAATACAAACAGTGATACTATTACACATCTATAAATCTACTTTGGCACCTGTTTTGCACTTATATATGTTTTTCCATAATTTCTTCAATAATTTCTTCTCAGAAAGAGTCATTTAGTGTAAAGATACTAGTTTAGCTTTTTCTCCAATGAATTTTACTTTTGACCCTTCCCCACTTCCTTATTTTGTAGATGAAGAATGTCTCAAATACTTTATTATTCTTTTTTCTTGCAATTAGTGCATATGTTTAAAAAAAATCAGATGAGGAAAAATGTAAAGGATAGAGCTTAGCCAGCCACTGAAAATTTTTGATCTTACATTTTCAGATGTGTTCACCACAGAAAATCCCAATGGCACCCAGTCTGAAATATCCGTGAAAGCAACAACTGATCTGAATTTTTCTTTTAAAAACTGTAAGTACTGAAAGGCACCCTTGCAAATATGAAGAGCCCTTAAAGCAAGGTTTCACAACAGCACTAGAGGGTATCCGGTGGGAAAAAGGTCAAGGAGTCAGTTCCTAAGTAAGGAGATTCTGTGTCCATTGCACTGATAAATTCAGAAGGCAAGGAGATTCTTACATTTCTTAGCCTTCTATTTTTGGTTTGCGTGGAAAGGAAAATTAAATAATAACTAAATTTAGGACTCTAGAAAATTGTATGTCTTTCTTAGACCTACATTTTTACTCTTTTCTGCTTTATACCTTCAGCTTCAAATGTTATTTTTCCCTTTTTGCATCTTTCCACCAAGTGTAACTATTTGATAGATAAAACTGTTGCCGGCACGTGACTTAGGAGACCATTAAAAGTCTCCAAAGTACATATACCACATCTTCCACTTGCAGTGTCAACAGCTCATATTTATGAAACACACAAGCATAAAACAGAAGACAAGGAAAAGAGGATGAAAGAGGGAAGAGAATGTTTCAGGCTATGGCAGTCTCAGTATTGGGTCTCAGTATTGGGAAAAGCCAGACTTTGTAATGCCTAATCATTAATAGAGCTAGTTGACAATAACGGAATATTTTGAGCAATTCCAAACCTTGGGACATAAATGAGATAGGGACATTTCAAGGGCATACATCAATTAACAAATCACTCACGGGAATTTTATTTGTACAAAGCTAATAACATCTTGAGTGGTTTAGGACAAGACACGAGGAGCCAGCTCTTAAACAGACCAGGCACCTCAAATTCCTTTAGGAGATGGATCATTGAGGGCCGTGGGACCCAGGGAAGAGATTCCAGAACTCTAACTTCTTGTCAAAGAAAGTTGGATGGGATAAGAAATTGTTGTCATTTTAAATGTGGATCTTACAGAGGGAGACGTGCTGACATGGTGGGGGCATTCTAGAGGAGTCAGTCCCTCAAGGAGATGGAAATCTCCAGAATAATTTTGAGTAACGATTCTTTTAGTCCCTAAAACTCTGAGGGCAAGGAGAGGAGCTGAGGCAATCCAGATGCTTTTCTCCAAAATAGAGTATGAGGGTTGCATAGCAGAATTTAAGGATTACTTATCAATTGTTCAAGTCCTGCCTGCATCAGTGTCAACTCTGGTAAGGGATTCCCCTTTCTATCCTTTTTTTGCCAACAAGATACCTGTAATGGCACTGTTTATAGGCTCAGTCTGAATTAATTCTGCCTCCCTTTAGAACTCCTCCTATACTGGGATTGCCTGTACTTCATATGGAACTTTACTGACTCCTGTATTAAGCAAAGTTAACTATAATGGCCAACTTCACGGCGGAAAAAAATGGTTCTCCAGTCACAATTGTTCCCAGACACACTTATTGACATACCTCCAGAGCAACACATTATAGACTGAGATATATACTAAATAAGGCCTGAAAATCCTTGATTTGTAGCCCCAAAACTTGATATCCAAAATCCTGTTTTGAGTGGTTAACATGCATATGTTTCCAATTTACAAGGAGACTGACACTGCCTCCCTCTTTGGTGCCACTACCCTGACCAGCAACCAAGCAGCCCTGGGCTGAGAACATCACTTCAAGGCCCGTGCCAGGAACCATATGAGGCCAATGTGTCTCACCCAACAGATCTTCCTTACCTCCAAAGAAAGCTTGGGGCCCCACCCTTCCAGCTGTTTCTCTCTCTTGCAAATTATAGGCATATTAATCCCGCCTCAGGCAACCCATTATCACAAAACCTTTATTCCTCAGTGCCTTCTTCTTTCCCCTGCTTTATCTCAGGAAAATGTCAACATCTTTCTTTTTGGTTTTTTTTCTCTTTCCTTTTCTTTGTTCCATTTTTTAGCTTGAAAATATGCCTAAGCACAGATGTTGAATCAACATTTTTACATGCTGATGATCCATTATCCCTTTTCCTAGATAAACTCGTCAACAAAACAACTACACCGCCTCCTGGAAGAGTCACCAATGAAGCAGAATATTATAACGAACCCATTGAAAAAAATATTCAAAGTATTAAAGTTACTACGCTGTAGTCATACCTGGAGCATATCATTATATGACTTAAAACTTTAAGTTTCACTCCTCTGAGTATTTCGTAAAGTAATAGCATGCTTAAAGAATTTGTACTGCCTCAATTCAAAGTCACTCTAAAATCTTTTAAACAGTGAAAATCTGAGAGGCAGTTTTCAGATTTACCTGACCAGGGATGGGAAATGAGCTCTTTTAAAATACAATTTTATTTTAATAAAATGTATTACATTTATATTAAGTAGATATCTACATTAAATATATAAATATATATACAACATAAATTTATATTTATATAAATATACTTAATACATTTTAATATAATTTTTTAATAATAACGTAAAAATTTCTACCTGCTTGAGGAATAAACTTGTCTCTGCTTAGAGTCAATTATTAGTGTTTCCTAAGATTATTTTGCTGGTGGGGTTGGGAGTGAGAGCTTGAAAAATCAAAATCATCATTTTACTTTCCTGCCAAGAATATTGTTCTTTATAAAATATTTGTGAAACCCTAACAACACAGGGTGGCTTTCCTCTAAAGTTTTGAATGAGTGGTTTAATTGAAGACAATGGACCTGTCATTACATGAAACCCTATTTTCTCCAGTTCATGCAATCCAAATATGTTTCTAATATGATTACTCTGAATTAGTTTGCATCTTTAACACTACTACAAATATTTTTAAAAACGTATTCACTTTTTTGATATATTTAAAGAGAGAAATTTGATCATCCTGGTATCCCCCTTCTTAAATATCTTTAGTAATTTACTACTAGGTTTGGGGTCATGTTCTAACTTCTTAACTAGGCATTCAAGTCTGAAATGATCTGACTGTTCAAGAACTTTCCAGGCTCATCTCTGGTCACATTCCCCATCCACATTCTTCACTCCAGATTACCCAAAGCTCTCAGAGCTTACCAAACCTGCTCATGACTCTGAGTTTGCTCACAGTGGAATGACCTCTCCCTTGCCTTGTTTGCCTGGCAAACAATCTCCAGACTCTAAGCCCATATTGGAGCATCATCTCCCTTTTGAAGGGTTTCTGGACTTTGCAGGTTGAATTAGGTCCCTCTGTGAATACCACCTGGGCTTTTCTATTACAGCCCTCATTATCCTGCAACATAATTAACAGCGATTCTTGTCTGCCTCCAGAATTGAGAGTGTTGCTTGAGCATAAGGCCTGGGTCTTGGTCATTTTCATAACTTTAGCACCAAGCACACGGTCTGGCACATGGTAGGACCTCAAGATATCATTATTAAATGACTAAACTAACAAACAATGAATGAATGTTCTATCACAAATTTACTAAAGCCAAATTACCTTATTTCATTATCCTGTTCTATTTTGTTTTTTAAACAGAATCAACCAAGGGTCAAAATGAGCCTGAATTTTGGACAAATTTAGCTAAAGGTAAACTCGTAGTAGTTTGGTAGCTGTGAAAATGTTCTGGCTTTCTAAAGTCTTATGTAAGAAAGCCAAGATCAGTGTAAATAGTTCTAATACTAAGAATTAGTAAGTCAACATTTTGCTGCCATTATTACACGTAATAACAAATGCAAAACAAATCCAGAAAGTTGATCGTGTCACACATTTTCTGCTTCTCCCCCCAAAAGTTTTATTCTCCTACAAATGTTGCAATCTAGTCATTCAATATATTTATGATTAAAAATTTTAAATAAGACTCTTGCCCAACATGGTCACTCTTTCTGTTTGGAGCAGTATGCACACACATGGAGATGCATGAATCAATGCAAAGTAGATATCAAAATATATGCATGCATGTATAAATGCAATGTGTATATTATTATGTATGCATGTACAAATGTAATATATATATCATATATAGATGCACACATGTATAAATGTAATTGATGTATCACACACCATATATGCAAGCATTATAAATGTGAAATAAATACCATATTCAGTCAATCCTCTTATTTGCAGATTCTGTACTTGTGAACTTACCTACATCTGAAATTTATTTATAACCCCCAAAATCAATACTTGCAGCACTTTTGTGGTCATTTGTGGACATGTACGGAGCAGCAACAAATTTTAATTGCCCGACACTCACGTTCCAGCCAAGGTGGAACAGGGCAACACTCTGGCTGCTTTTCTCAGCTCTCCTACTGTAAATAAGTGTCCTTTTTGTGGTCTATTTAGTGCTACGTGTTTTGCATTTTTGTGCTTTCTGTTGGTGATTTTGCTATTTAAATTGGCCCCCAAGTGTAGTATAAAATCCTGGTTAGTGTTCCTAAGTACAAGAAGGCAGCGATGTACCTTATAGAGAAAATGTGCATGTTAGACAAGCGTGGTTCAGGTGTGAGTTACAGTGCTGTTGACCATGAGTTCAATGTGAATGAATCAGCAATATATACTAAATAAAAGTGTGTTTAAACAGAAACTCACATAAAACAAGGTTACGTATTGATTGGTTGATGAAAATGTGACCAGGGAGAGGCTCACAGGAACCTATCCCTGTATTTCCCCTATGAGCAGCAGTTCAGTATTCACTAATTAATGTTCACGTGACTTTATAGAACATAACTACCATGAATAATGACAATAAATTGTATATATTTTACACACACACACAATAATTTTAGTAAGTGAATTTTGTTTACCATAACACCCAATTTATTGTTTTAACAGCTTTAAATGCAACAACCAATGCGGAGAATGGAGAAAAAGATCAATTATTTCAACCAATTCCAAGTAAGAACAAAATACTTCAATTGAATGGATACTTACATACATTTTAGTGTCTGCAGGGTTCACTGTTTTCTCTAGTAGGGTGTAGTGTAGGTAAAAGGGTAGCGTGGCGGCTAACACCGTATCAGATAGGACACACACTGATTTAGGAAAGTTGTAGTTCCTAAGAATTGTTCTCCAGTTACCATATTGAAGATGACTATTTCCATCTTCCTGTTTTGTAATTTATATTCCTGAAACAGATAAATCAAATGGAGGAGGAGGCAAGTGAATAATTTAGAGAATGTAGTTTTTTTTTAATAGAATTTTTTTCAGAGCAGTTTTAGACTTATAGAAAACTTGAGCAGAAAGTATAGAGAATTCTCCTATATTCTCCCTGCTCAGTTTGCCCTATTATTAACATCTTGCATTGGTGTGGTACATTTTTTACAATTTATGAGCCAATATTGATACAGTATTATTAACTAAAGTCCATAGTTTACATCAGGGTCCACTCTTGGTACAATTCTAGGGGTTCTGACAAACGCATAATGCCATGTGTCCACCATTACAATCAGACAGAACAGTTTCACTGCCCTAAAAATTCCCTGTACTCTACCAATCCATCCCTATCTCCCCCCAATTCCTAGCGACCACTGATCTTTTCACTGTCTCCATAGTTTTGTCTTTTCCAGAATGACATATAGTTGGAAACATACTATGTAGTCTTTTCAGACTGGCTTCTTTTGCTTAGTAATATGCATTGAAGATTCCTCCGTGTCTTTTTGTGGCTTGATAGTTCATTGATTTTATCCATTGTCTGGATATACCAGTTTGTTTATCCATACACCTATTGAAGGACATCTTGATTCATTACAATTTTTTGCAATAATGAATAAAGCTGCTATAAACATTCATGTGTAGGTGTCTGTGTGGACATAAGCTTTCAGCTCATTTCGGTTAAGTACCAAGGATCATGATCTCTGAGTGGTATGGTAAGACTATGTTTAGCTTTATGAGAAGCTACCAAACTGTCTTCCCAAGTGGCTACACCATTTGGCATTCCCACCAGCAATGAATGAGACAGTTCCTGCTGCTGAATTGCATAGTTCCGTTAATGGATTAGTTATATTTATCTGAGTAAAAGAACTCCTGATTTGAATGGAAAATTTTATGACAAGGCAATATATTAATTTCCCCCAAACCTCAGTCCTACAAATAAACCATTGAAAAAGAAATGGCATCTCGTAATACATCTAAGGACTGTCACCTCAGTTTTGCACTACACTATTTGACAACTACAGACACTTGCCTTGTGGGGCTTCAAGAAAATGGAGTAAGTCTTCTTTGTTCAGAAAAGTTATATATATGAATGATCATTGCTGTGTCACTTTAGAAATATTTTGTCTTTCCACATAATTAAAGCGAGCATGACTGATTTTCTATCATGTCTTGAGCACAAACTACATGCCAGGAGCTTTCCATACATTATCATGTTAGTCCTCACAGCAACTCCATGAAGTTGTTATTATCTCCATTTTACAGATGAGGAAACTGAGGCTTAGCGAGAAAACCTGGCTAGACTGGTCATTACCTTTTCTGTAATTTCCAATGGTTAGGAATTCCAAACCCTTCTGTAGTTTTGACCATCACCTTGATAAATAAAATGTACTACAAGCACACCTCTTTACAAAAATGCTTTTAAGGAGTAACAAAGCCATACAGGAGCACAGCCCATTTAAACATAATTAGTTCGATTATTCCCCAAATAATCTGCCTCAAGTCAAGATATCAGTCATTGACAACCGTGCACATTTCACTCCCCTTGATCTAAGATCACGCTTTGACAATTACAATTTTTAAAAATCAGAGAATATAGACATGGAAGCTTGTCATTGCTTATTACCAAAACATCATTACTGAAAAAATAAGGAAAACTTTTGGAACTTTTGGGTGGGAGGAAGTTGGGGAAAAGGGGAGAAATATCAACATGGTCATTTAAAGTCACCATTACATAAATGTCTATTAAGTCAGACATATATTTAGGAAAATATAAAATTTGGCAGTAAAGATATATTTTCATTAATAGATTTAGTAAAATGACTTTTGACATCTCTAGATCTGGACATGATTTTTATTATATAACTTATTTCAGAAAGTTAAATAAGTTTCCATTTCTTTTTTTAATATCAAGTACACTAGGTTTGATCTCAGTAATAAAATGGCAAATTCAGTTCTTAAGTCTCATGGAGAAAGCATCTAGGACACCATTTTTTTAGCTTAAAAGAAAAATTAATGCATGGCCCAACAGTAGAATTGCATCTTTCTCTCCCAAAGGACTAATGCCTTGTGTGTAAGTTCATCACATTTTTAATAGTAGTCTCCTCAGAGTCTTGAACTGGTTTTTATTAGCCAGGGAGGAAGTCTGCTACAGACATATTTTAACATCTAGTAACCTGGGTTTGAAACCAGATTTTGCCACTTACTACGTATGTGCCATGGGCAATTTCATAAGCTTCCGTGATCCTGTACAATGGATCTAAGGACAGCTCCTCCAGATTGCTGTGAAGGTTAAACAAAAAAAGTTAAATTTACACAATGTTATAAACCAACATGACCTCAATTAAACAAAAACCTGTAAAAAACAAGTTGAGAGTACTCAGCCACGGGGAGGAGCCTGTAGCCTTCTCCTTTGCATTGCATGAGGGTAGGGGGAATGAGCGGAGAATCTTCTGGATGGTGAAGGCTTCCCTGCAGTTGCTTTGCAATCTTTACTCCCCAAGATACAGATACTGAGCACAGTTACTCTTTTCCACTGCATTTTCTTTCTTTCCCCTCAGACTCCGATGTGAATGCTACAAATGAATACAGACTGGGAGAGCTACAGGAAGTCAAGTTAAAATTAATGCTGGGCATCTCGTTGATGACCCTCTTCCTCTTCGTCACCCTCTTGGCAATTGGTAGTGCCATGCTGTACAAACTGAAGACGCTGAAGTAAGTCTACAGACCTCTGGAGTCTTCATAACGTACATGAAGCTCTCACCCTCCTCACTTTAGTAGATTGTCAGGAAAATGTGACTCCCAAATGTATCTACAATGTATTCAGTTGGGCTCCATTTCCCCTATTTGGAAAGGAGCATGGGGCTGTACCTCAGGGAATAGCCTATTTGAACTTTTCCCCAACATTTTCAATAGTCTCCTAGAGATAGAAATAACCCCAGTCAATTGGAAAGGATATAGAGAATCTAGATATGCATCCTTTTTGGATAGCCTGAGAACAAAAGAGCTATGAACTCTGTTCTAAATTACACATCTGTTTAGGGTCTAACATTCTTCATTCATTTGTATATTGTTATACCAAGTAACCAATACATGGACAGAATTCATACGTTGTTTTAATTTTTGTGGTGCTTTTCTAAGTTGAGTTAAGCTGCAAAGTACATAATTAAAAACAAATCTTGATATATGTTTTCTTTTTCAGTCAGAAAAAGACATTTGAGAGTGAATACTCCGTCAACCCAGAACTGGCAACTCTGTCTTACTTTCATCCATCAGAAGGCGTATCAGACACATCTTTTTCTAAGAGTGCCGAGAGCAGCACATTTTGGGGCACTACTTCTTCAGAAATGAGAAAATCAGACACAAGGTCAAAATCTAGAACAGCGGACATGGTTTCCACAGCCTCAGATGATACAGGCATGAATGATGAGTCAGACTTAATTCAGAGTGAGGAACCAATCGAGGAAATCCCCCCCAATGAATAGACAGCTTTAATTTCTTGTCATAAAAAAAGCATCTTTCTTTGTGATTCACAGTCATGTCATGATTTGGAAACTCTGCTGAGACATTTAAATTTTCTGGTGTCTTAAAAGAAGGATATAGTCAATAAAATTCTCTCAGCTATAAAAATTATTTAATGGAAAAACTACAAGGAAATAGTTTAAGATGTAGAAAACTCATCACGTAAAAATAGTCCTGGAAATTGACTTATGGAAAGTATTCACTCTAGACTGGTTCATTTTTGTGTGTGTGTGAGGAGATCAGCCCTGTGCTAACATCTGCCAATCCTCCTCTTTTTTTGCCAAGGAGGACTGGCCCTGAGCTAACATCCGTGCCCATCTTCCTCTATTTTATATGGGACGCCACCACAGCATGGCTGAACAAGCGGTGCGGTGGTGCACACCCAGGATCCGAACTAGCAGACCCTGGGGCCACCACAGCAGAACGCGCACACTTAACTGCTTGCACCACCCAGCCAGCCCCCCAGACTGGTTCATTTTTAAATGAGGACATTTAGATATTTACCTCACCTGGGGCCATTTTGAGGCTGTTCAGGGTAATCACCACTACCTATACCCCTCCCCACCACCAAAGCAAAAAGAACACACCTGTTCATGTTTCAGTAGCAGAACAGTTGTTCCATATCAATAGATGAAACTAAGTTAGTACCAGAGACTCCTAGCATTCTTGAACTGTGTAAAAGTCATCAGGGCTGCTGTCATGGGACAATAAGAATAAGAAAAAGTTTTTTCCATTTCTAAAGTATCCATAACCATTTGAGATAACATGATGTTCCAGAAGAAAAGAAAGGAAGAAGGGATCCCAGCATGTAATTTTCTAGAGGGCGATTTCATGGGATTTCCTTCTCTCTTCCACCAAGGATCCAGGCTCATGCTCTGTTGAATGAAAAGCAAAGCATTTCAAAGACTAACTTGAGTTATTAGTGACTTATGAGGCCATCCATCCCAGGAGTATTTCAATTTACAAAGAAGATCAATGGAATAGGGATATTGTTTCCCTTTTAGGAATTAGTTTCAACTGGAAGGATTTTAGTGACGTGCATTGGATCTTTTGTGGATATGTGTGGACAGTGGGGAGGGGGAGAACTTAGGTTTCATTGCCATCCTAAATTCTCACTTCCTTTATGCTAGGCACTTTGGTACATTATATCCCATTGAATTCTACCCTATGAAAAGCAAGTTTATTTTACAGATCAAGAAACGAAAACTCAGGTAAGTCAGATACCTTGCCTAAGATTACCTGCTAGAGAAGAGCAAAGGAAGATGTGCTTCCAAGCTGAGGCTCTCTCCATGATCCATGAAGGTTAATAGTCAAACTTATAACAAAAGTCAAAGGATGTTGTTTGGGAGCTAGGTAGGCCCTGCATCCATATGGCAGGAGGTTCCTTCACTCAAGGGTTCTTTCAGCTCTTGGGAAATGGTTGTCCCTACCTCTAGTGTAGGTGTCTAGGAACCTCCTTTTCCATGGAGGACACAGACTTCACACTCACCTGCCACTCCCCCTACCATCCAGTCTCAGAGTCACTCACTCCCCACTTCCTCCCAACTCCAGCCCCAGCCTCACCATTGGTTGGGAAAGCTTTGAACCTCCACATTTCAGTAGCTGTGGACTATGTAAGATGGGACCCTTCAGGGAAAAGATGCAGCAGGGCAGGTGCTCACCTTTGCCTGATCTTGCCAATAGCATACATAGTTTCTGAGCCAGTGGGGGTGGCCTTGAGCATAGCCCATGCTACCCTCAGTGGGTTACTTTTGCCATTTTCCGTGCCCTTTTGACAGCCCCAGGGGGCGGTGCCAGCGTTTGTACTGCCAGTTCAGGCACCAGGAAATGCAGTGGCAACTGAGCAAGGCAGGTGGTTGCAGCTGCTTGGAGGTGCTGCAGGTGCAGGGGAGCCTTGTTGAATCCATGAGTGAGAAAGGGCTTGTGGGAAGAACGTCAGGTGGGCTTGGGGAGGGGTTGACTACCAACCAGTTGCACCTTTTTTCTCCACCCATCCTTGGGAGGTGCCAAGAATTTTCTTGATTGGAAATAGGTAGCAGAGTCACATTTGAATCACATGGCTTGTCTCCAGTACCAAAGCATTGTAGAGGGAGAAAGTTAATCAGCATAGATTACTATGACTACAATGGCCAAAAGAGACAACCATATTTTTAAAAATTGGCTTGCCATCCTCAGTTGGCATAGCTTGCAGATACCACTGTGGGGACCACTGTAAGGTACGATCAAGGTATTGGGGTGGGAGCGACAAGAAGAACGTCAGCTAGTCCTTACTGGTGTTTTCTTCTCCTCCAGTCTAGAAGCGAGGAGAGGGTCATACAGCACAAGCTGGTGTGTGTGTGTGTGTGTGTCTTCTCACTTGCCCCTGCTGACCCTCCGTGCCATCACTGCCTTTCCTGAACAGGTTCTCTGGACCTGTTTCCCCTGAAAGGACATAATAAACCCAGTTCCTTTTTAACCTGTCTGTCCCCCATTCTGAAACACTCTCGTACTTCCTTTCTCTGCTGCCCATCATCTGCCTCTTCCCCAGCCCTCCGAGAGGGAATTTGGTCTGTTTTCCTCTACTTTACTTAACGGCAATTTCTACAGAGTGGCTCTGATGGGCAAGAGAGAAACAAGGCCTTGCCTTAGGAGGAACCAAGTTGTTCGAATCCCCACCAAGAAACCCTCCCGAGGACCAGAAGCCTTAAGTGCTAGTCCTTATTCCCTCTTTCTTCCTCCTTCCCACAGAAAGTGTGTTCTGAGATACATGTTCCGAATGGTGAGGGTGCCCCGGGGGGCCTCTTTGGGGGCGTTTATCGCCGGCCTTTTGGGGGTCACACAGTTCCTGAAACCCCGGGGAAGGGAGGGTCCGAGTGACATTCGGGAAGATGGTTGGCGCGGGCTGGCGGTCTGTAGAGCATCTTTCTGGGGGCGGGGTAGGAGGACGCCCGCCCCAGTCTACGTGGGTGGTCCCGCGCTGCCCGGGTCGGGGCGGGGCCAGAGTCACGCAGCCAGGGGAGGGGGGAGGAGCATGCGGTGGGCGTGTGGTCTCCTTATAAGGACCTGCAGATGCCGGCTCCTGGGAGCGCGGGATCCCCGAAAGGAGTGCACAGGTTTGCTGGTCGTAAGATGCACGTGCGTGGTCTTTTCCTTTCTCCCTGTCGCCCATCTCTAGCGTGGAGTTACTAGAAGGGGGTTTCCTGTGCTCTGGTGAAAGGTGGTGGGGTGGAACTCTGGTTGGGGCAAGGAGTATTTACAAATCAAAAGGAGCCGGTCCCAGTCACCTCTAGCCTGAGGGAAGATTGTATGTGTGCCTTCACACTTCAAAATTAGCCCTCCAAATCTAGCTTCTGATGGAGCAAAAAAAAATTTAAACTTGTGACATGGAGGGAAAATATCACTTTTTTCCCCTAAAGCGCCCCCAAAGCACTGCTTAAACAGCTCTTCCTGAATCATGACAATCAAATAAAACGCAGCTTATGCCAGAATGTAATTCTGGCTGGGTATCCAGAGTTTACTCCACTTTCCAAGTTTATTTCAAGAGAAACTAATTTCCAGGCGTTTATGTTTGGATCTTAGGATAATTCTCATTCTTGTGCCTGCTCTTTGCCTTCTCCCTCCTCCATCAAAATGACATACACCTTTGTCACACAGATGTTGTTTTGGATTTCAATCGAGTTAATTTCTTAATAGAAAACGAATGGTGAATAGGAAGGCTATTGAGCCAGGAGAAAGCTCATTGTGCAAAGAGCAAACGTGTGTGTTATCAAAACATGTAGGTTATCTAAAGTAAGTTTAGAGTTTTAAAAAGCGTGATTTGGACCCCATCTCATATCTGAGATCTCTCATTTGGGAGAAGGGGGAAGGGTGTAAATTACCGTGTAACTGATATAGGAAAGTGTACATTGGAAAGAGGGAAGAGGTTGTGATTTCCTTGGTAAAAAGTGAGGGAGGAGCTGCCAGTGTGGATCCAGCTGCTCTGGAGTTTTGTTGGCTTTTTTAAGTTTTTTATGGTGGTTGGTGGGGGATGTGTTTTATTTTGTGTTTGAGGCATTCTGTAGAACATCAGGGCTCTTAGTGAGAATGTGGAGACCCACTAAATTAAGGAAAGACTAGTGCTTTAAATAACTTATGACAGAGGAGAGGTATTGGTGTATGAGACTATGTACAGTTCTGTGTAAGTAGCATTCACCTATTTGAACTGTTTCCAAATTGTCACTGGTTGGTAAATAATACGGTGAATAGTGTATATGATCCGTGTCACGTTTGACACAGCCTAATAATTATGTATAAACCTGGGCTGTCTCACTGATATGTAGTCACTCTAGTGATAAGGTGCAAATGTACTTGAATCCATTGTGGGAATGAGCTAGACATTTGAAAGACTTAAACAATGATAGTCGTTGACTTCTCCTTCTCCTTCCAAGAACTGCTCAGTGAGTAAGCAACTCCCTGTGTTTAAGGCTGGGTTTGGAAGAGTTAATGTCCTTCTGATAGGAAACTACTTGTCCAGGATATTCTAGAGTCTGCATTTCATCTTAAGTGATTTTTACAGATAAAACAAAACTCGTCTTCCATTGACAACACTAGGCACAACTGTGGAAGAACTGGCAAGAATCAGCAAAGAAATGGAGTCAGTCAATACTGAGGTTGAAGAAAAGCAGAAGAGGCTCTCCCAGTTTACTTCAGCATTTGAAGAACTATCGCGAAGCCCTATGGCCTCCTTTAGTGACACAAATGTGAGACAAGATTTTCCTGAAGGGAGCCTGCTCCCAAGGGAAAAGTGGAAGGAACCATCCAAGAACAAAGAGAGTCAGCCTAGGAAGTATGCGATGGACCACGAATGTCCAGCAGCTGATCTTGAGCGTGATCCTGTGCTCGATTATCCTGCAGGGCTGCTAGAGGCGTCTGAAGCAAAGCAGGTTGAGACTGATGCCCAGCACTTCTGCCGCTTGAAAAAATCTGCGGGTGAAAATTACTACAAGTCCCTGGAGAGCCAAAGACCTTATGT